GCCTTTTAATCTGGAACTCTTTAGCGATGGATCGTATGTGCGAGTTTCATTAGATCTGGGCTGAGTTTAAGTGCAAGTAGGCGGTTAAGGTACGGGCCTCCCTGAGAGAACATGCCTTCATACCGACTGGTGAAAGTTCAGGGTTCGATCGGTGATGGTGAAAGGTCACCAATGTTTGAAGCATTGTATATGACCAACCAGTTTTCCTCAACTGAGCTGTTCGAGCTAAGTCAGATGAGAGATCAGCTGCCAATCTTTGGTTGTCTAGGGTTTTGGAGGTGCACCATTTACCTTTCTATTATCAGCATAGACATTTCCAAATGATCGAAATATATTCATAGGCAGATCTTTTATGTAAAGTAAGAAGATGCTTGGGTCTCGAATCGAACCTTGCGTTGATTACTAGGGTCGCAGAGGACTGGCCGTTAACAACTACCTTCAGGGACCTACGCCTTAAGAAGCATTTTATAATTGAGTAGAATCTTCCAATGATTCCATATCTAGAAAGCTTGAGTAGTAACCCTTTATCCCACGCCTTGTCAAAAGACTAAAATATCTAATGCGATCGTCCTTGAGATGTATTTGTTGTCAAGTACCTCACTAATTATCTGAGTAATTGCAATTAAGATATCAGCAGTGGACCGGGTACAACAAAATTTGTACTATTTGTCGCTCAAGAGGCTGTTACTATTGAGGTGATCAACAACCTTCTTGTTGCATTATCGTTAACATCATTACAAGTGGATGCGTTTAATTGAGTTACCTGTTTTCATCTTTCTTTATCACGGACGTAGATGTACAAATTTTAGTTACATGCTAAATAATCAGTTTAAACGGATTTATATTGTAGGAAGCATTATCCAGTATTACTGAACTGAGTATCCAAACAATGTCTGCAGCCAAACTAATTATAACGAATGAAATCATCGGGACTTTTAACCAGAGACGAAGTTATTTTTCCAATTGATTTGGATGTTTATAAATATTTTTTCAACAAAAATAAATTTGGCAACATAACGAATTCTGAAAAAAGTAAAGAACTTTTTTTCATATCGCACTGGAACTGCAGATATATATATATATTTTTATTTGTTTTCAGTTTTCTGTATACATGAAGCCGCGAAAATTTAACAAGAGAGGCAGCCGGGAAAGACAAAATGGCGACGATGTCCAAAAAATTGAAAGAGTTTAACGTTTAGCTGCAGCGTAACAACAACAACAAGAGCAAAAACAAATAATAAAACAAAACTTATTGAAAAGCTGATACTTGAAGAAAATATCGATTAAAAAAGCGATCGATTAATTATCCTGAAATAAAAATTATGAAATAATTTCATTCTCTCAGATCGATATCTTCATTTTCATATGACATTTTTACAAATTGTTGAATTGTATTATTGCTCGTATTCTTGAAATCTACATTAAAATATAGAAAGAAACACGTGAAATATATTATAAATGGATCGAACATGCCGAATGTTTTGTGCTGGGGATTTGGCGCGGAACGATACTCCACGGTCGTTTGCAATATTAAGGATTGATGGAGATCATAATGTTGCATATGTTTTAATAAAATAATGAACGTCATATCAATGCATTTCTAATGCCCCAGTCAAGCGCTAAAAATCATTTGCCCGATCTTGTTTAAGTTAGTTGCTTAGATATTTGGCTTCTATATGAGATAAGCGGAGGTGGACGACATGACGGTATTTATCTACTCCATTCACTACTTAAGCAGAAAGGAAATGTTCCCTTTATAGCAGACGATACACTTTAGCTGAAAGGTAGATTCAAGGTATAGAAAGAAGAAATTATTCTGATGAACGTATAATTTTGATATGAATGTATGCACAAACACACACACACACACACACACACATATATATATACATATATATATATATATATACACTATTAATAATATTTTGCTCTACTTTGTACTGAGCACGTTTAAAAAGCATATATATTCTTACTCCATCTGTTCTTTCTCTTATTTATATATATATATATATATATATATATATATATATATATATATATATATATATATATATATATATTATATATTTAGTTGGATTGATATGAGTTTTGTGACCCTTGGTTTCACGCTTTTACGCTGTCTGACGATCGCAAAAAGCATGAAAATAGGGTCACAAACTCACATCAATCCAACTAAATATATATTATACATGTTAGCTCTATCACTGATATTGAACGCTTTCCAATAAGTACCGCGCATATATAATATAATAAATAATATATATATATATATATATATATATATATATATAATAAATTGCATATATATATATATATATATATATATACATTTCACACACACAAATATATATGGTACATAAAACTTTAATGGTCAGAGTTGATTTTGGCCAGGAAACACTAGTATTAAAAAGTGCACAATACACCCCTGAAAAAAATGAAAATAGAAATAACATGTAGAACTTTTAACTTTAAATAATTGATCATTTGATTCCACTACCTTGTTTTCAACCTTACTGTATCCACAGGCGATTTTTATCAATTGCCCTTCTTTTGTTAAAAAAAAAAGACAACAACTAATAAACACTACATTATTTTTAAAACATAATCTGGTAAGTTTGTGTGTGTGCTTAAATTGGTTCTAATAGATCTGTGGTCAGATTGGTGTAAAGTAAGTCGTCTGGATAGGCATGTAGTAGTGTGACTGATGTAATTATTTATGAATTCGGTTTAATCAGGAACACAATTCCTTAAGGGGCATTTGAATTTATAGATAATGATCGTTCGTTGTAATTTTGACTGAGCTGGTGTGTTGTTATTTTTTAATATAATATTTTAATTTTTTTTTATAGTAGATAATTAAATTGATTTTTTTATTCGGGTCAATTGGGGTCATGTATTTCTTTATAATATTTCTAGGTGATGATTCATCTTGTTTATAGTTAATGTGCATTTGGTTTTTGTAGAAAATATTTGTTATTTTTTACTATATGTTCACTATCATTGTTATTTACTTTGGTGATCTATAAGGTGGTTAGGGAAGCCATTGTTAATTGGTGTCTGTTTTATATTATTGAGTTCTTTAAGGAAGAGTAGTCGAGAGGATGAATTCTGATGTGCTTTTTTTTGTAAGTTTTTTATCACTGCTATTTTGTATCTGAGTGGACATTCACTTTTAAAGCAAAGTAGCAGGAGTTTCTGCTAGTGGATTTTTTTATATAATAAGATGATAAAAGTATTGTTACTTTATTCTACGGTAACATCTAAGAATGGGAGTTTGTTTTTTGATTAAGTTGATTAAGTAAAGTATGAATAAAATATGTATGAACGTATATAGACTATTTTTATCAAATCAGACCACTCTCACTCAGTATAATATTTTATTATACTTATAAAATTTAACTAGGTCTGGCTCAAGGACAAGACAGTGAAGAACTCACTCGACGAATATATCTTCCCAAAAGATATTGATCTTGACATATCTCTAAGGTTGTTCATCTTTCTCAAACTGATCATCTGTCAATATTGCTAGCTATCTCAGCATGTTAATATCTATCTATCTATCTATCTATCTATCTATCTATCTATCTATCTATCTATCTCTTCATATCTTCCTATCAATTTATCTCAATCTTTTCTATCTATCTATCTATCTATCTATCTATCTATATATATATATATATATATATATATATATATATATATATATATTCTCTTCATCTATCTATCTCACTTTGCTGAAGATCGTCTGGCTTTGAGTTCCAGCAAAATAATTTTACGTTAATATTACTTTCATTGAGTACACGAGGAAATCCCTAACCCTAAACCTAACCCCTAACTTTAACCCCTAAACCTAACTTTAACCGTTGTCTTTTACCGCAATCAATT